TAACTCTTACACTTCCTAAATTCTATTTTGAGTTAACTTTTTTTATATGACATGAGGTAAGGGTCCATCTTCATTCTTTCCATTATGACTATCGAATTACCCAGCACCATTTGTTAAAAAGAGTATTTTTCCTCATTGAACAATCTTGAGAAAAATCAGTTGACCACAGGCATATGGGTTTGTTTTTTTTTTTATTTCACTGATCTATATGCCTATTCCTATGCCTCTATCTTGATAGCGTTTTTCAGTAGTAAGTTGGAGATCAGAAAGCACAAGTTCTCCAGTTGTTCTTCAAGATTGTTTTAGCTGTTCTTGGGCCCTGGGAAATCCACATGAATTTTAAGATCAGCTTGTCACTGCTTGGAGAGAAAGAAGCCAGGTAGAATAGGAATTGTGTTGAATGGTTAGATTAGTTTAGGAAGCATTACCTTTTTAACAAAATTAAGTCTCCCAACCCATGAACATGGGATGTTTTTATTATTTTATTTAGATCTCTAATTTATTCCAACAATGTTTTATAGTTTTCAAAGTTAAGTTTTACACTTCTTTTGTTAAATTTATTCCTAAGTATTCTTTTTGATGCTATCATGAATGGAAGTCTTTCCTAAAGTTTATTTTTAATTTTTCATTACTGTCTAGCTGTTGGGAGGTCTGGTGGCATAGTGCCTAAGTCACTTGACTGCTACCAGAAGGCTGGTGGTTCAAACCCACCAGCCACTCCTCGGAAGGAAGATTGGACAATCTACTTCCATAGTGATACTGCCTCGGAAACCCAAGGAGGGGTCGCTACGAGTTGGAGATGACTCAACGGCACATAACAACAGCACCATCTGCTTTTTACTATCTAATATGGCTTACTATCTAACACAGATTATTACTATCTAATATAGATACTCAGTTATTTTTGCCTGTTGATACTATGGTCTGCAACCATGATGAACTTGTTTATTAGCTCTAATAGTTTTTTTAACAGATTCTTAAAGATTTTTAAATAGGCAGTCCCTGAATTACAAACATCCAATTTATGTGCAATCTGGAGCTGCAAACTAACCCCCATAAAGCCTATTATTATAAAAACAATTCAAGGTACATACAGTGGTTTGTAATATCATATAGGCACTACTTTACAACATGCATCAAAATATTATTACTATTGTATTATTACATTAAAGATATTTTAGTGTATCTGGAATTGTTTGTTTTTATGCACAGAAATGTACACTATATACTATATATACTAAGACAGTTAACTAACATTAGATACAAACCATACCTAAGTCTTCCAGTTTACCTACAAACTTAAAGATAGATTTAAGAACAGAACTCATTCATAACCTGGGACTGCCTATATACAAAATTGTTTCATTAAGCTATTTGACTGCTAACCAGAAGGCTGGCAGTTTAAACCCATCAGCTACTCCTCGGAAGGAAGACTGGGCAATGTACTTCCATAGAGATGTTGTTGTTGTTGTTATGTGCCGTCGAGTCGGACCTGACTCATAGCGACCCCTCCTTGGGTTTCTGAGGCAGTATCACTATGGAAGTAGATTGCCCAACCTTCCCATAGAGACGCTGCCTCGGAAACACCAGGAGGGGTCGCTGTGAGTTGGAATTGACTCAATAGCAGTGAGTTTGGTGTTTTTCATTTGCAAATAATGATAGTTTTACTTATTCCTTTCCAATCTGGATGCCTTCTGTTTCTCTTTCTTTCATAACTGCCCTAGCTGGAACCTCTTGTACAATATTGAATAGAAGTGTTGAAAATGGACATTCTTGTCTTTTTCCTGTCTTAAGGGAAAAATCAGGAACAACATTAACCATCACCATTAACGTTAACTGTGGGGTTTTTGTAGATGACCTTTATCAGGTTGAGGAAGTTCTTTTCTAGTATGCTCTTTTTTTTTTCCAGTGTCTAGGATGAAAGATTAAGTTATTGATTTCAGATTTCTTCCTTCTTAATACAGGCATCTACAGCTATAAATTTCCCTCTGAGCACTGTGTTGACAGTATCCCATAATTTTTTCTGTGCCATGTCTTGAGTTTCATTCATCTCAAAGTATTTTCTAATCTCTCCCTTGATTTCTTCTTTGACCCATTGATTTTTTATGAATGTTTTCTTTAATTTATACTTGCTTGGGGCTTTTCCTATTTTTTTTTTTTTTTTCCTGTAACTGATTTCTAATTGTATTCCATTATGGTCAGACATCATACTTTTATATTTTTTCTATCCTTTTAAATTTATTGAAATTTATTTTATGAGCTAATGTATCATCAGTACTGGAGAACATTCTTTGTGCACTCAAGAATGTGTATTCTGTTGTTGGGTGAAATGCTCTATAGATGTTGATTAGTTCTAGTTGGTTTATAGCATTGTTCAAGTTCTTTGATTTTCTTGTTGATTTTCTAATTATTATAAAAGTGAGGTATTGAAGTCTCCAACTATTCTTAAATTGTTTCTCTCTCATTTATCAATTTTTTCTTCTTATATCTTGGTGCTCTGTTTTTAGGTACATATATGTTCATGAAGGAGCTCTGGTAGCATAGTGCCTAAGGCACTTGACTGCTAACCAGAAGGCTGGCAGTTCAAACCCACCAGCCACTCCTCAGAAGGAAGGTTGGACAATCTACTTCCGTAGTGATACCACCTCAGAAACCCAAGGAGGGGTCACTATGAGTCGGGTCCATCTCGATGGCACATAACAACAACAACATATGTTTATGACTATATCTTCCTGATAATTTACCCTTTTTTCAAAATTAAATGCCCCTCTTTGTCTCTAATAATGTTTTTTTGTTGTAATGTCTGTTTTATCTGACATTAGATATAGCCTCTCCAGCTTTCTTTACAGCTTTCTTCTGGTATATGTCTTTCCATTCATTCACTTTCAATCTGTTTGTATATTTGTATCTACAGTGTGTGTCTGTGGCTGTTGTTGTTGTTGTTAGGTGCTGTCGAGTCAGTGCCAAATCATAGTGGCCCTATGTACAACAGAACGAAACACTGCCCTATCCTGTACCAGCCTCACAATCCTTGCTATACCTGAACCCATTGCTGTAGCCACTGTGTTATTGGACAGTATTTCAGGGCTATTCATAAAGTTTTCCAGTAATGTATCAGACAGTGTTTCATTGCTATTCATAAGGTTTTCACTGGCCAGTTCTTTGAGAAGTGGATGGTCCCTTCCTTCTTCTGAGTCTGTCTTAGTCTGGAAGCTCCGCTGAAACCTGTCCACCATGGATGACCCTGCTGGTATTTGAAATACTGGTGGCATAGCCTCCACCCTTATAGCAGCACACAAGCCATCACAGTACAACAAACTGACAGATGAGTGGTGGTCTGACAGATGCGTGTGTCTGTGGTAAATAGCATATAATCAATTCTTGTTTTTTAATGCATTCTGATGATTTCTACCTTCGGATTGGAATACTCCCCTGCCATTTAATGTTATTATTGATGTAGTTGGATTTACATCTATCCTGTTTCTTTATTTCTTGTGTGTCTTGTGTCTTTTTTGTTCCTCTTTTCTTCCTTTACTGTTTTGTTTAGTATTGAATGAATATTTTCTAACATAGCATTTTTATTTCCTTAATTATTATTTAAGGCTTACCATATACATCTTTGCTTATCAGAATTTGCTTCAGATTTGCACTAATTGATTCCAGTAACATACAGAGATGTTACTCCTATGTGGCTATATTCTTTTCTCCTATATTATTTTTTTGGGAAAAAAAAACTAAGTATTTTTCATTTGCATGTTCCCTTTCTGAGATACATGACTCTACTTTATTCCCTACCCTTAAAGGTCTGTAAGGAGCTCTGGTAGCATAGTGCCTAAGGCACTTGACTTCTAACCAGAAGGCTGGTGGTTCAAACCCACCAGCCACTCCTTGGAAGGAAGATGGGGCAATCTACTTCTGTAGTGATACTGCCTTGGAAGCCCAA